CTGGAGGCTGCAGAGGAGGAGCGCCTTCCCTGCCGGCCAGGAGTGCCTCGCCACCCGCCAGGGATTCCCGCGTTTAAGACGCGGGATTTCCCTCGGGGGCGCTGATTGGCCCAGGGATTGGCTCTCTGCCTCCTGCCTCGCCACACAGGCCCCGCCAGGCCCAGGCAGCGCTGCGCTACCCTTGGCCCCCTTCCCCGCCCTTCTTGCTTCCGCTGGGCTGCGGCCCTGCGCGCGAGGAGAGGCTGCCGGCAGCCACCCCTGCCTCTCCTCCTGCGCCCCAACGGCCGGCTCGTGCTCTAGGCGAAGGCCTAGTTCGCCTAGCGGGCGAGCCGGCCCTGCCTATACCTTTGCTCTGTGCACTTTTCTGTCTGGGTTCTGCAGAACTTTAGGCTTGTTGAAAATAGTTGGAATTGTGCAAACAGAAGTGCCTAGGACGACTGGGAGCAAGTTCTGTAGCAGAGGACTGCCTCCAGAGCACCCAAAGGGAGCAAAAGTATAGAATCCAAGCTTGTCTTTTGAGAAATTTGAGCACAATGCTTAAAATATAAATCAGAAAGAACAGAGGAAATAAATGTTAAAGCTTTCTTTCCATTGAGGAAGAGGAGTTTATTCAGTGCCAGTTCAGGACAGAAGAAAAGAATGCTGATTTGTTACAGTCATAGAATTTTGCAAATGCAATTACTCTAAACCAGCTAGTCTTGAACTTACTTCATCTTTCTTTTGCTCCAGGATGCAGAAAGTAACAAGGAAATAGAAGAGATGCTGGCTGTTTCAGAAGCCTAAACAAGTTCAAAGTTCCCATCTGTCTAATATACGTGATCAGCAAAAGCTCCAATATGAAAGGTTTTACAGTGATTGCCCTGATTGAGCTTCATGAACAAGCTGTGGAACCCACAAAGAAGAAACCCGTTGCAGCTTTATTGTTCCGTCTTCAAATATTCATACTGGCAAGGGAGCTGTGGTCTACGAAAATGTAATCCTGCTCCTCTTTCTCTCACTGCTGTGTTAGATAGTGAGATTGTTTTTTTAACTGTTCTCAAAGAATTTACTCCTGGATTAGGGGATTTTTGTGCTTTTTTGTTTTGCATATTCAACAGCCGAGAGTTTTAAGAAATACTAATTGCACATTTTCTATACGGGGATCAGCATACCGTTATTGCATACATTAATTCAGTTTTCAGAAAGGATTACAGATTATTCTAGAAAAATAATGCAGACAAGAGATGGCAATGATTCTTTTTTCTTTTTTTTTTAATCAGTGGGCACATAACACCCTGGGTTTTTTAACTTAAATTGTGCTAGTTGGTTCTTTGTACATAAAGTGTGACATTATGGCTAAAATGTATTGTACATAATAGAAATTGGGACAATTTGCATCATTGTTGATCATTATGAGAATAATTTTTGGAAATACTTGGTCTTACACACAGCCTCCCATTATACATAAATTGGCTTGAATACTGCCTGCCTTCGCAGAAAATCAGTTGTTACTTGCAAACCATCAACTGAGCCAGGATTTCAAGCATTATTTTAACCCTGGCTCGAAGATAGAATACACCATAGTTTATGGCTCAGCATAATAACCAATGATGGCTTGTCACAAAAACGGAAATCATTAATTTCTGTGTTGCTTGCAGGGATGGGGAAGAGAGAACTCATGAGCTCTAGGTTTCAAAGGCTTGTTCTCATAATAACAGACTATAGTTTGCTATGCATGAATCATACAATTTTTCAGACATACTGTTTTATTCAAAAGTGTGGAACAGCACAGCTTTTCATTAGGCCAGTGGATAAGATCCAGCAGATTAAAGCATAACATTATATGTATAAATGGAAACAGGCTAATACTTGAAACAAACATAATTGTACCTGACTTGCTACAAATGCCGCAAAGCCCAAGCCAATTTATCCTTTCACAGATTCACCTAGTTGCTAGTTCACAGATTCACCTAGTTGTTATTCCACAGGGTGCTCTCTTGCTTGAACACTGTTCACAGGGAAGATGTTTGGACAGACAAGTGTTCTCTCCTACCATACTACCCTTTATCAAAGCAGCTGGAAGTATCTGTCTTCCAAAAGTTTAAATGTTGTGGGAGCAGTTCATCTGCTTTCTCTGTGTTTGCTAGAAAACAGCATCGTTGCCACAAACATTGATTAAAACGTTAAAGAGAAAAAGAAGGGTTTTTCTGCAAGGGTTGACAGAATATTTTTATACTTTAAAAATGCTGCCTCTGTGCAAACGCCTACTAATGTGGGGGGGAAATTTTACTTTTGAAAGAAGACCCAGAGTTCCCATGGTTTAACAAGTTAACAAAACCAACAATCTTATGACCAAGAGCACTATAATACCATTTTCAGTATGCTCTGTAGTTTTACTGGGAACCTAACAGGGTGTCCTCAATATCTTACAAATCTATTTTTTCCCCTGTACATGGTGGTTGGATTATTACCCCACATGCAGTACCATTCCAGTTGCTTAGTTCTGTGAAATGAGTGTGTTTTTAAAAGTTTTCTGTAGAAGAGTTTAATTCATGTTCCTAAATATAATACAATGCTAACATTTTAATATTCTGAAAATTAAATTGGAAGAGTGACCATTAACCAAAGATATTTCCTATTACATAGTTTCCCTTTTCTTTTTTTCTTTTTTTATGGGTATATTTGTGTGTGTGTGTGTGCATATGCTTGGAAGTCATGGCAACTTCTGGTGACACCTAGTGGGGTTTGGATGTTTCAGATAGGTGGCTTGATAGCCTGCCTCTGCGTCCCGGGCTCTGGTATTCTTTGGAGGTCTCCCTTCCAAATATTTGCCAGGGTCAGCCGTGCTTAGCTTCCATGATCTGTAGTTTCTCATTTCTTAATCCCCTTTCCTATCAGACGTTTAGATCTCAAACACTTCCAAGTAATTTCAGTAGACTAGACATTTTAGTCTCTTGAAGCAAAAACCCAGCAAGATTCTGTGATTATGATTGTCACAATTGTTATTTATGTGTTTTATCTCTCATGTAAGCCGCCCTGAGCCTGCCTCAGCTGGGAGGGTGGGATATAAATTGAACAAATAAATAATTATTTAAAGACTAGCAAAATGTTAATTCCAGCATATGCTATTGCGGATTAGAGCCCAGCTCTTCAGATGCAATAAATGTAGACTCTTATCCAGTGAATGAATCCTCACTATATAGATATAAAATGTCTGCATGATGAGGATTCAGTCATTGCATCTGAAGAAGTGAGCTGTAGTTCATGAGAATTTATGCTGGAATATAATTTTGTTAGTCTCAAAGGTGTCACAATAATATAACTTGCTTGGCACTTATAAATGTTTTCAGTGACCAGAATACTTGTTCTACCACCAAGCTCATTCCTTTTGTAAACGCTAATCCATACATTCCATATCACCAATTTGAAGAAGAAGAGATTGGATTTATACCCTGCCCTTCACTTGGAATCTCAGAGCGGTTTACAATCTCCTTTCCCTTCCCCTCCCCACAACAGACACCCTGTGAGGTAGGTGGGGCTGCGAGAGGTCTTTTGAGAACTGCCCTTGAGAGAACAGCTCTGAAAGAATTTATGACTGACCCAAGGTAACCAGAAGCTGCATGTGGAGGAGTGGGGAATCATACCTGGTTCTCCCAGATTAGAGTCTGTGCACTTAACCACTACACCAAACTGGGTTCATTATAACATGATAAAGGAAAAACCCCTAGTGCCTTTTGTCCTAATGCATATACTTCCATTTGTACCATATTGTAATGGAGTTTGCAGAGAAGTGGCTTTTAAAAAAAGTTTGAGATTTACTAATATTTTCATTTGGGATTTGAAATGTAAGCTTTCAATAATTTTTAGATATACTTTTGAACTCCATAGTTCTAGGGCATATTTATTTGGAAATGCTGGATATTTTTCAGCTCTGATCATGGTTAAGAACTTTGTGTTTAGAAATTGCAGTACTGACTAGAATTTGACACGTGCACACACACACACATTTCATGTGCATGGACACACACAAGTTTATACCCAGAATTAAACTTTGTTGGTCTTAAAGGTGCCACTGGACTCAAACTTTGTTTCATTCAGCATCCCTGTTAATATTGGTGAAACCCACTGAGGCCCTTTTGATTATGCCTTGAAAGGAGCTTTGGTTGAGAGGCCTGAATCTTCACTTTCAGCAGACCTGGCATATCTGGTAAAGTGGAACAGTTGTTCAAGTGCCTCTGCACTACCTGACCAAATGGTGGCTTCTGCTCAGGCAGTATTGTATATTAAGAAATCTGAGTTCCTGCTCCAGTGATCAAAGAACAGATGATTTTTCAGGATCCACTGGAATCAGTTCTAGTTCATAGAAAGGAATTTTTAGTTTTACAGAAATTTTGAATGTTTGTAGCATGGGGGAAATTTAATTAAATGGTTGAGAGAGCTGTGTTAATTATTAGATTGAGACCAAATTATTCTTAAAACCTCTAAATGTATTTTAGAGGAGGTGGAGAAAAATAATTGAGATGGACTTTGCAGTTTGTGTGTGTTCCTCCTTCAGGCATTCCACCAGTTCTTGATGATGGCCTTAATTGATCTAATTCTTACCATCAGTTGCCCCTTTTTTTAGTTTTTAGTTTTTAACTTCCCATTTGTGATATTCTGTGACTGCATCAAGAATTTGTTTTGCAAAGATTTCTTGATTTGAATGTGCATTGATTATATGAATTCATTTGTTCTAATCATGCTTTAGCAAAGAAATGTTACTAAAATGGCACTGAATACATGAGGAAAGACATCCTTCATTGAGCTCTCCTGATATCAATCCTTGATTAAAGGGAAGATACTATGTTCTTTAAAGGGGGCAAGCTGGAGTCTCCTAGATAAAATTGTATGTGAGGTCAGCTTTGATACCTGGAGAGGAGTGAGTGGTCGTGTGCTCCTTCATGACATGGTTCAAGACAGAGGCTGGTAATGTGTGGCCCACTGCTTGCATTCTACACCCCATGAAGACCTTTCTTGAGATCTCCTTTCCCATAATGGGCTCAAAATGAGTCACTTAATGGTAGCAGCATCTGGCTAGGAGGAAGAGGCCTTGGTAAGCTGTCCACGATCCTTGGGGGTCTGTGTTCTCAATTTAAGGATATGGGAGGAAGAGAGGTTTACCTTGAGCTTCCTCGCAGCCTTTTTCAGTGATTCTTTATTTAGGATACTGTTATCACTAATAATATAGAATAAATGCACTGAAAATGAGAGATAAAATATTTTCTAGATTAATCAGATTATCTTGAACTAGTAAACCTGAGATCGGTGTTATGAAGAAAAGTCGTCTTTGAGCAAGGATAGTTCAGGAAGAGTTTGCCCTATAAAGGGGGTACACTTTAGTAGCCTAGGGTGAAAATAAATTTTTGTTTTTTAATTGCACATATTTTGCTTGCTAACTGTGACTATAAATGTGAAAATCCTTTAAGAATGCACTATAATCCTCCCAGAGGAACATGAGGCAGTGAAGAGTCATAGGAGCAAAAGGTAGATGAAAAAAGACACATTACATTACTGACAGCAGGAGGCTTACTTCCAAAGTTTGGTACTAGAGACAAAGATCATTGTATTTTCCTGTAACTGAACTTCTTGGTTTTTAAAAACAAAATATGACAAATTAGTGTTCTCAAACTACATAAATTATGTTAACTTCAGCTTTATTTGAAATAAAAGTTTTAAACATGAAAATACTGCCTAATGTCCAGTATATAAGTGTCAAGAAATTCAATTATCTGTAGTATCTTTATATGTAACTGCTATAGCTTGAAAGTTCATAGTGGGATGCAGCTCTTTCAGTACTTCCTGTGTATAAGAATAACAATACGAGTTGACTATGTCACCTCGCATTCGCATACAGAACAAATAAACATTTAAACCCAGTGATACAATAATTGTGAGTCTGGATAGGGCCAAACTTTTGCATACTGAAACTGAACAAATTCTCAGATGGGATTAAATGTGGCTGAGTTTCTTCCACTTAGTTCTTTGTTGGATAAGCTGTCTGGTGCTACTGAATGCTGTACCAGATTTATTGGTCCAGAGCCACAAAAAGCCAAGGAACTCTTGGAAAATCAGCACATCTTGCTCCTGGGGTGCTGGTCTGGACCTGGGAATCTTTTCCCACAATATTTGTGTATTGGCAACTGCTGACATGCCAACCAGAATAAGACTAGAGTTTCTCCATGTCTTTGTTTTCTCATAAACCTTGCTGGACTGGAATAAACATTTCCATGATGTTACTCAACTTATCCAGGGAAACAGTATATGAAAAGTATGCAGACCTTTTTCCATGTCTATGCATAGTTTAAACGAGCTCTTACTCTTGGGGAAAGAGGGAGGTCATGCTTACAAGAAAGCAACAGCTTAGCGATGGTCTGGTGAAAGAGTGAACTAAGGCTTCAAGGGAAATCCACAATTACAAAGACTAGTGGGAGGAAGACCAATACTTGAACTATGGTAATGGGGAATGAACCGGCTCCCCACAGGCCAGAAGGCCAAATATGTATTCATTCCAGTCTGGCCTAATGATTGTGCCTGCCTTTTGTTTCTTCTCTCCTTACTCCTAAGAACATCCCTACTAGATCAGGCAAGCAGTACACCGTAGCCCAACAACCTGTTTCTCACCCAGCAGCCAGCCAGTTGTTCTGGAGGACCAACAAATGCCACGGAGGCAATTGTCTCCTAACACATGGTATTCAGAGGTTTGCTTTGACTCTTCTAATAAAACAGTCCTTTAGTTTATTGCAGCCTATAGGATTAAGTATTGCTGATTAAGGAGTCAGGAACTGGACTGCTGCTGTTTCCAGAAGATAAATCCTTGGGCAGAGCTTGCTTGGCTTTGGTGTGGCTGGGGTCAAGGCTCTGACAGCTGGGGGGGTGAAAGCTCATTCCTGCCACTTTGGGGGGTAGTGCCTCTTCTCTGGCCGCAGGTTGCCAAAGGGATATGTGCTGATAAAGTCTTCCAAAGTGAGGCTGAGCATTGTCCATTGCAGGCAGATTGTATATCCTCTGAAACTTACTGAGAAGGCAGAATCGGCATGTTGATCTGGAGCCTGAATTTTTTTCAGTTATGGGAAATAGAGAATGGCAGGCTTCCGTAGAATGAAGGGAGGTATTCTCACATTGCCTTTTTAATCTTGTTGTGTTTTACTTCTAAAAATTGATGTAAACATCCTTGCAGATATTTTTTATGAAGAGGGGGTTTAAACATTTTAAATAAATAGAATATTATCCAGAATTTTTTTTTCTAAACAGAGGAAACTTCACATGCACGAAATGCAGAAAGCAGGCTCATTTATAATGCTGCTGTTCGTGACTTAAGATGTTATTTTGCAGAAATGAGAACATGTTCTGTTTGCCAAATATGTTAAGAAAATTAATGTTGGGATAGAAATGCATATTTGACTCGAACACCCATATTGTAACTTCTAAAGTAAGTTTGCTAGAAAGCAAGATTCCAATTAAAAACTTATAAAGCTTTTCCTGAGTTCTAAAGAGCCAACATTTTGTTTTTCCTTTCTCTTTCTGTGAAGTTTGGGAGTGGGGGAAGTGTTTTGTTTTGCAAACCACCAGAACTCTCTTAGGATAGAAAATAGCACATGCAGACTTGAAG